GATGACTGAAGTAAAAGTACTTTGAATTAATTTGTTGTTAGGAGGTTTATAAACAACTGCGAATACAGTGTCTCCGCATTTTGGAAGATGGACTACCACAGTCCTCTAACTATAATCCTATTATATGGTACTAAACAAGATGTTTAGCTTCATAATTAGTCTAGAATAAGATTTCTGTGTATATAAATAATTTCTCCTTCCTATCTATGATGCAAAAATCACTGTGGAAGAACTTGCGATTTTTAATTTTTTCATTATCTCCTGGAGTAACATGCTTTTCCGAGATTAAACATACATGTGAGGTATTACCTAGAATTCTGTCTTTTTTCTGCAATTATTGGCGTTCTGCATCAACAAACTTATAGTCAGCAATGATAAATTACCCTTGCGCTTTATATACTTTTTACAAGCTCACAATATATCATGCTGCGTATATGCGCATGAGCTACCATACTGAATTCTTACTGCATGCGATCATCTCATTGGCTCTTCTACCTGCTTAGTTTTTTCGTCACTTATTAAGTTAATTTATTCAATTCCTATTTTATTTTTAAATACGAATGGTAAAAGACTTCAGATAAATCTTGTTCAAATCTGATATCTTTACCAAAAGAAAATAATTCGATTGCATGCTTAGCTGCACGTAACAGTTATGCCAAAATCGAGGTCAAACTTGAGAATCAGCATTAGTATTAGGACACACGAAGAATGATACCCAATTAGTTCGTTAATTACTTTACACAATGTTATACAAAAGATGAAATACGGGCAATATATATATTTTTTCAGATGATGTCATTTCCAGACGTTAGCAATTACAGAGCTCTACTTTTTGTTATTATTCCGTTATTTTAATCATCCCATTTCGACACTATATATTCAAAAGAACGTCCTAATTGAATGCTAAAAGAAGTCTCTTGGAAGGATTTTTTTCTTATACGGAAGGCTTGTAGTATTGTTACAACGCAGCCGGCTTTTTGACCTTGTCCATTGATGCAGATTTTCTGACAAAGACAGTAGCAGCTGTCCTTTACAAACCTTAAAGCTCAATGACTTTTCATTCTGCTGAGAGAATGATAAATAAGGCATTTAACAAAAATTCATTATACCACTTCATGCGTAAAAGTTAAGGAAAAGACTTGGCAATGTCTCCTAAACGAGAGATATACTACCCCAGATTTTCCTCATGATGTGGATTGAATTTAATCCCTGTTTGGTAAATAATTATTTCCCACAATTCCGAAAATATGCCCGTATTTTTATATTTTCGAAATCAGGAAAATATACTTAACCTGAATGCTTCAGACTCCAAAAGTCTGTTCTTGGATTTCACAAAACCTTTTGAAAAACTTTGCGACTTTATTTTATCATGATTTCAAATAAACTGTTTGGGTTCAGGAATTTACTATCAAACAACTTGTGAGACTAACTGATTTGAGGGGGAAGTATACACCAAAAAATGTGTTGCATTACCAGTGCAAGAAGGTTTAATTTAATTTCGTTAAGACAAAGCCAAGGGAATCTATCTGCCTAAGGGATCTCCTTCATAAGGGAGATAAGGAGATATTTTCATTCTCCTGGCCTAAGGGAGTACTTTCTAAGGAAAATAGGCCTGTATTCAGATTTTACATGGAAAAAAATCAGAAAACGTATTCAGCAGCCAGTCCTCTCGTCTAGATTTGAATCCTGATCAAATTACTAATGTTCGGCGTTTTTACCGCTCGGCTGCTGATACAATATGTAATGAAAACAACCGATCACTTGCAGTATAACGGACGTATTTACAAGTTAATGAAAATGAAGTTAAGTCGGGAAATAAATTTGTTCATAAAATCTTTCCTTGAAGACAGGAAACATTGTTAAATATTGCAATGCCTGCTCTACATATCGCAATATTAAGGCTGGTGTGCTTCAACTCTCAAGTTTGGACCTCATACTTTACTTGTATTATAACGATGATTACCTAGTCGATAGGCAAAATTAATGTTACGCTGATGATACTGCTGTAGAAATCAAATCAGCCAGACTAAACTTTTCAGTTCAGAACTTTGATAAAGGATACTACGTACCTTTATCAAGCTTCTACGTACACTTGTTAAGTAAACATAATCCCGTTATTTTTAACCTTTCATTGCAATGATGAGATATCTTCTTTATCAGCTTGCGCACATTCATATTTACTTATATTATTTTTTCGTACTTGCTTATGTGCATATACACTCACATTGCGTGATATGCTGTGCTCTAAATGGAAGCGGCTTTGTGTTACAAACTGCGTGTCGCACAGACCTGGGATTCCACGCACGGATTATTATTAGTTTAATTAACTAGTTTTTACAATTTCAGATTTACTATCACTTCTTCTTTCCGCACAATGTTTAGAGAGAATTAAGTCGAGGAGTTTGGATTATAAGACAGAGCGCGTTTTTCCCTCTCGATGCCACGTTCGTCAGTTCTGATAAGACTATAATTCTTCGGCTTTGCGCGATTGCTGCCGACATTTAATTTTTACGCCGGTGAGAAGTTTTGAGACAATTTAGATTTAAATTAAATTGTGTAATCTTTGATTACTAAGCTAGTTTTAAATTTGACTGGCACTTTAAGTTTCATCGCCACAAGTGGTGGTTGTTTTGTTAAGTACGAGATGTAGGTTTGGGTTTAGTTCTGATTTACTAAAAAGGGTTGTTTTAAACATTTTCAAGATTCTGTCGTTACTTCACACCAACCGATAATTCACTGCAAATCTTTTAGGAGTTTGATACTAGTTAATGTTACCAAAGAAAATCAAACTCTATATTTATTTCATAAAAAAAGTTATTTTTTAATTTAAAACTTTTCTGTTCTCAGGATGGCTGAGATCCCCCCCCCGAAAAAAAGGGTATTACAATTTTATGTGCTCTCGCAGTTTACAAAGTTTAAAGGCCAATGATACAACGCACTCTTGCGGGCAAAACACAATGATATCCCTTCTTTTGCCTCTCTTCGACTCTTTCCATAAAGAGTATTAAAATTCCTTCATTCAAAAAAAAAAATTATCTGCAGAGACCCTCTATAACACGACAATAATAGCTCCAATGGAGGCTAAGCACTTGAATGATGCATCAAGGTCAAGCTAATATTTGTCATTTTATCGTCAAAGCTATGAAGGCATTTCGAAATACTACATTTCTTACGCTTGAGTTATTTGCAATATTTTTGGTGGATATTTAGTGAATGCACGAATTCTTTTGCATATCTTAAATTAAATAGCTTAATAAAATTTATTTTTTAAAGAAGTCTACAGATAGAGAACATTGTACCAGAAACATACATTTTTATTGCAGAAACAGCACTTAACTCCCTTAAAATTTCACTTTTTTATATTTTTCGTTTATTGATTATTTCCTAATATTTATATTTTTGACGTTTTTAAATAGATAGTCCTTATATGCTCGGAAATATTCAAATAAGTAAAGCTTTTCGACATTTTCAAGGAAATGTGATTAATTTTATCAAGCCCTTTCATAATTTTGAAGTAAATAATTCAAACTTTAATTTCCTACAATTTTTGTTCCTTTTTGCTTTAAATAAACTGAAATTTCTGAAAGAGTAAATAGTACTATTATCGAGTAGCATATCTAGAAAATGTAAAAACATAAGATTACATGATTCTATTAAATAAAAATTGTCTAACTCTGATTAAAACACGCAATACCAATTTTTTTTTTTTTTTTTTTTTTTTTTTTTTTTTTTTTTGTCACTAATGTCAGTTTGAGTGACAAGACATGTTTCGGTGAGTCGAGAAAAGTTTTCAAAATCTTTAAACAGTTATGTACATTTATTAATCCGTTACTGCATTACTTTCTTCTAGAACTGTTTTTTCTCCTCCCCACCCCCAAAGCAACTATACGACTGTAGGTCACCTTATCTATCTTAATGTTACCTTATCTATCGTAATGCAAAACATATTTCTTTATAAAATTAGTGGCACTTAAGATAAAATGAAGATATAGTTTTTAGTGTCATTGCGAAGTATGCTTAATTAAATTTAGAATTGTTGTTAATTTAAAGATGTATGTTGATTCTGTAGGCTGCACAATATGTTTTGTTTTAGCAAAAAAAAGAAAAAAAAAAAAAAAATCTTAGAATAAAAAGTCCCCCCCCCCAAAAAAAAAGCTACTACTTTGTGCTATGTGCTACACAAAGTTACATCTTTTTATTTATATTTATTTTAAAAAAAATTGTTTAACTAGTTTTGCAGCTAACTATGAATATATTTAAAATATTTGGTCTCATGTATAGAACTTTTGAATACTATTTCAGTAAAATGTACGTTTTCTTTAATTTTATGTTAATAAGTACATTACGGATAATCCATAACAAGCCTTCCAAATTCAATTTAGTTATCAGATATCCGCACATGCATTAAGAATCTGGCACTGTGTGCCTGTATACTGTATGTTAAAAGAAAAGAAAAAGAAGCGCGATGTCTGTCGTCAGTACAATGCACCAAGTACAGGAAAAAGTGGGCGCGATATCAGAATTTCGCCATTGGTCATACAGATATAATTCCCTTCACCAAATGTGCTACTCCGCCCCCCTTTTGATGAAGAGAACCCCAGGACACAGATCCTCTTCCCATACCATCAGATCACAGGAGAAGATTTTCGGCTCGTCAGTATTTTAAGTGCCTCCATGCCGCAGAGACACCATACACTTTTAAATATCCATACCTTCTTCAGGAATCGAACCGGAGTTCAACAATGCATTGCTAACCACTTACGTGTTCACACGCACCTTCTGGCTCTTGCGTTTCCAAATGGCCACCACTGATGTAACGAATAAAAGAAAATTTATGCTTCAAATGTGTCAAAAAAATTCTTGGTGAACTTGCTTCCAGAAGAATTCAGACTTTTTGTTAAGTGATTGTTTCATAAATTATATTTAAAATGGTATATTTTCGTCAATAAAATTAGTGGAAACTTATTTCTCATTTTTTTTTTTTTTTTTTTTTTTTTCAGATACGGAGTCCACGAATACTTAAACTGCACCGCCGTAGAAGTTCCTTTTAGGGGAGGTTTGATATCTCTAGTGGCCTTGCTGCCCAACGAACCAGAAGGCATGGCCATGTTGGAGACACGAATCAGTGCCCAACGTTTGACCGACATCATCAACTCCATGCAAGTTAAAAGAGTCAATTTCCAGGTCAGTTAAGATTGCTTCGCTTTTGCTTTTTCTTGCACTATCACAAAGATGATGATGTTATTGACAGTTCTATTGTTTGCTTTCCGGTCTGAGGTTTTGAATAAATTTCCCTGAAGAAATAGGAATGAAGAGAACATGGTGTTTCTCCTTCCCCAATTAATCATTACTGAATGGTAATTCGCTAGTTTAAACCTGAAATTCGATTATGGAAAAAAGTGTATTTATTTAGACTGTTAATTATCATATTTTTAGTCTTAATTTTAATCAATGATTCACATTTCTAAGATAGCAGTAATGCAGAGTATGTTTAGTATACGTTCGGAGACTCAAGAAAAATCATCTTATAATTGTACTCAAATTCCATTTAGAACACATTTATCTCCTCTAAACAATTTAACTATATTGTGGTGCAAAAACCTAACTTAAATTAGACCTTGATTTCGAAGATATTATTAAGGATTTTGTTTTTAGAAATTAAAGGAAAGGAGAAAACTTTTCCTGTGATTAAATTTTAAAATATACAAGTATTTTTAGTCCAGTAAAATTCCATTTGAATCTATCCCATTTTAATTAAACATTTGATAATTCATATGCTCAAACCATTCTTGCGTTTTCAAAATGTTATTTATAAAACCTCAGTACATGCTACATCTTGTTTGAACCAAAGAAACTACACGTGATATTTTACTATATTTTCTTATGAATGGATCCGATGGATCGTTTAAGATATGTCTACATTTTAAACCTTTAAAGCTAATTTTAATTCAAATTTACTGCTATAGTGTTGTTAATACTATAGATTTAATCGAATCGTTCAGTTAAAAAAAAAAAAAAACGCTATGTCCTTATAAAAATGCTAATTTTTAAAAAGTATAATATTTTTGTGCTTTTCTATTACGAAAAAGGAAATAGGCTTCGGAAGACCTCAAAATAATGCTTTAATTACAGCCCCTAATTCTCTTAATCGGGCTAGTTTTAGTAAAAGAAAATGCAAAAGAATTATCAAAATTTCCAGTTAATCTCTGTAATAATTAATAGAAGAAACGTGTATCAACCTGAGCATTAAAATTAGGCTAAATTCAATCTTAGATCGGTGTTAGTTTTATAATAAAGCTCATACATTTTAAATGAATTTGATACGAATGCTACATGAAGTGCAAAAATGTCAGTAACTAATTAACTGTTTTAATTGCATTTTGTTTCTTTCGTGGGTGTTACAACTCGCTACTCATCCGAAACATTATCTTCAAAAATATTATTCAACATTATCTTCAAAGATTAATTAGATAAAGCTATTGAACAATAAAAATTCGACAAGATTTCGATTCCCAGAGAATAGGCAAGCATTGTTGGGTTTTCTGTATAGTATTCCAAGTAAATGCAAGTTAGTTTTTTCTCTAAAAGTCTTCTACTACAAAGGCATTTTGAGCAGTTCACATCTGCTTGCTTTGTCACAATCCATTCAACAGTAACGCAAAGCTTCATCTTAAAACTTAACCTTTCGTATAAATTTGACACTTCACTAGCTTCACTTCGCTTTTTTTTTAATTTTTTAATTCTAAAATTTCAGGAGAGTGGAAAAGTGTTAAACACGAGTTCCTGCTTGGGAACCGAGTGAAAAATTTCCCGAGCTTAGCTATAGTCTACTAAAATATTTTTCCTTAACAGTGTGAAGAAGTAAATCAAAGCAATGTAAGCTTAGTCATTATTATATTACACTGAAATTGTTAATAGGACTTTTAATAATTGTACAAAGAGCAAAAGCATTCTTTTAAACGATCAGATCAGAACCATTCGCTCGAACTGAATCGATTCATTTTTACGAGTCACAGTTCACTGATAACAACCCTGGTGAACGAGATTGAGAATGGAGAGTAAATCAAAAGCGGTAGGTGAAGAGGAAGCGAAGAGTGTAAAGATTGAATGAGCAGTAAAATCGGGAGGATATTGACCCAATTAAATTCGCAAAGTCCCTGACTGATTTCTTTCAATTGTAGTTTTGAGATTCCCTAAAACCTCCTTTCTACATAGAACTGACAATGGAATTCTGTAATAAAAAATATTGTAGTAGTATAGAAATAACAAAATTCAAATTCACCTTTAACACCGCGTAATAACATTCTTTTCTTACTAAAATGAGAGTCGAACTTTCATGGAATGCATCCAACAACAGCTCTCAGAGAGTGAACTCTAAAAAAGCTACCGCTCCGTTTTGCCAAAACATCGTTCGTTCACGCAGTGAAAAGAATCGGTTCTATGAATTAATTTACGAGAGAAATGCCCATTTTTAATCGTACAACAGCCGCCCCAAGTTAAAGGAAAAGTCGCATTTTCATTTTCAATTAAAAGCCATTAACGATTAATCGTAGACATTAAAATAGACGAACGCCAAAATAAGCTAGAAACTAGGCGTCTTCTTTCAAACAATAATCGAGTTATGAGCTCAAAAGAAAAATTTTTGGAGGAAATCGAAAATGATATAGTGATATTTCAATGAACATGCAAATGAAAAAAAAGCGAGATAGCTGTGTTGCTCTGTATGCTAGAGGATAAAATATTTATGTAAAACTTTCATGGGATAGATGGTGCTGTGCCCGATCGGTAATAATGATCACTATCAAAATGTTACAACAAAAGATTTATTCACATGCAAAAAATCCATTTCAAATCACGAATGTAACTATTGGTGTAACGTCCAACAGAATAAACTATTTAATATCCTTTCCCAGTGTTATGCTGATTTGCATCACTACTGCATCGATGCAGCATCATTTGTCTTGTGATGCTTCTTTGGCGAAATGAAGCAACTCCAATGATGGAACACAGCAATAACTTTTATTTAACACTCAAAAAAATGGCGACATACAAACAAGAAGAGAAACATATTCTAACATTTAAAAATAAATTACATTCTTCGTGCGAGAGTCGCACGAGGCACTCGAGTCTGGTTTCAAATATTGCCATTCACAAATACCTTAATGTTCATCTATTTAAATTATTTAAACTACAAGATTTTAATATTATTTAAAGCTGTTACAACCTCTTCCCCAACGGAGAGACTTTTACTGAAGGGAAAAGTTCTGTAAATTTCGAAAGTTTATAAGCTCGGCTTGCTCAATTGCTTAAAGAGAAAAGATAACTTCTCTCATAAGTTTCCAAATTTTCAGGCCGAAAATTTTAAGTTTTAAACAAATATTTTTACACCACATTTAAATAGGAAGAAAATGGACAGCTTTGAAATTAGTCTTCTTTTTTTTTTTCTTGACGGCGCCTAGATCTCTTCCATGGCGGACCAGTTCCTCGGCTATATTTCACAGCAAAGCCTTTCTTCAGTTCATCTGTGCCTTTCGGATAATATTCATTTGTCATTTGCTTTCAACATTTGTTTTCTTTGTCTATTAGTAGCGGCATTGATATTAAATCGAAAGCCGAAAGATGATGATAACGTTGCATTGCAACATGATTCTCAATATTAATTTCTTTATCGTTTTTCAAATTTTCGTAAAAATCTTCCACGTTTAATTCCGGTGATTTAACTTCTTCTTCAAAGATATCTTTGGATGCTTTATTTTCTTCCTTCATCGGTTCCAAGATCTTCTCTTCAACTATTTTTCTTTTCCTTTGAGCTCTAGTAGAAACGGCATTAAAATGGTATCACTAAGATTACCTTCAAGTGATAAACTAATAAAATAAGGCAGTTCAGTGTTAACAGGAAGTAATAACCTGCTATCACTAATATTACGTTCAGTGATGAACTAATAAAATAAGGCAATTCAATATTAACAGGAAGTAATAATCTGGTATCACTAATATTACGTTCAGTGATGAACTAATAAAATAAGGCAATTCAATATCAACAGGAAGTAATAACCTGGTATCACTAATATTGCGTTCAGTGATGAACTAATAAAATAAAGCAATTCAATATTAACAGAAAGTAATATTCTGGTATCGCTGATATTGCGTTCAGTGATGAACTAATAAAATAAAGCAATTCAATATTAACAGGAAGTAATAATCTGGTATCACTAATATTATGTTCAGTGATGAACAAATGAAATAAAAATACGCACGATTATTCGATCTCGGTCGGTGCCTCCAAAATAATTATGACTGTGATGCTTCTTTGGCGAAATGAAGCAACTCCAATGATGGAACACAGCAATAACTTTTATTTAACACTCAAAAAAATGGCGACATACAAACAAGAAGAGAAAACATATTCTAACATTTAAAAATAAATTACATTCTTCGTGCGAGAGTCGCACGAGGCACTCGAGTCTGGTTTCAAATATTGCCATTCACAAATACCTTAATGTTCATCTATTTAAATTATTTAAACTACAAGATTTTAATATTATTTAAAGCTGTTACAGTCTGTGAAAATGAGAACATCCTTCCAAAAAACGCGCATTTCTTGTAATTCATTTTCACGTGAACCGCAGTCTAACATACTATTTTCAGTTTTTATAACTTTTTAAAATTTGAACGCGTTTTTGTACCATCTGATACATAACTGTGTAGAAAATAAACATGATTTTTGAACTGAAATACATACTGGGATATCAAAAGTTTAATATATTTGGTTCGATATTCCCTTTATTGTGAAGGTCTGTTTTCGAACTCGCAGTATTTCCTGGTATGCCTTTACCTCCAGTATTTAATTTGGATGGTAACTTGCTAAGTTGTTAACTAGATCTTTTGCCATTATTTAAATTTTTCTAGTCATTTAGATTTTGCTGGGTCATTTAAACAAACAAAATCTGCAATAAAAATTTTCTTTGCATTTTCAGATGCCAAGGATCAAAGTGAAACAAACACATGGCAATTTAACGAAAGCACTATTTAATTTGGGCTTGGTGGACCTGTTTACACCTGGTTATGCCAATCTCTTTGGCATCAGTAACTTCGGATGGCTTCATGTCACCAACGTCACGCATGCTGCCTATGTAGAAGTGCTGGAAGCACCAAGTTCTGCACCAGGACATAACACCACAGAGCACAACATTTCTGTCATCTTGGACAGACCTTTCCTGTGGTTCATCATGGATAATGTAGCCGGATTGGCTATTGCAATGGGGAAAATGGTAAAACCAACTGATGAGAACTGGACTGATTTTCCAACAACTCCTGGTATTTAAAAAATCCACCGAAAAATATTCTATGTTCTAATATTCTGAAGGAAAAAAAGGTAAAATCGGAGTAATAAGAAAAGTAGGAGAAAAGCTAAAAAATAGAAAATGGAAAACTTTCAGTTCCAAAATTATACTCAGTTTTGTCTCAAACATTCAGTAAAACAATTTTTAAACTTCTATCAGGGTTTGGAAATTGGAAATTAACTACTTTTAAATTCTCACTGTTGCCATTCCTGGATTTCTTTGAAACTTATTTTTAATCTATTCGTTCTAATCTATCCTAGAGTGAAAGAAGAATAAAATGGCAGCAAATAAATAAATAAATAAAAAGATTTAAATGCGGAAGAAATATAAAAATAATTTGAAATTTTCCTTTGTTGTTTTTGTTTTTGTTTTATGAATTATGTATTTTACTTGGAATGTTAATTTTGACCGCTCCCCAGTACACTGCGTATTTTGTCATAAAGCTACAAAATATATTTTATTTTCTGAATTATTTTTTCCTGTAAATATGTGAATTATATTGTCCGTTTATTATGAATTTTTTAATAAATAATAATTATACTGAGCAAAGACTTTTATTGAATTCTTAAATAAATTAAATTTCACATATCTGGCGCAACCATCAGGATAACATGACTGACCTGTAGTGTGTGTTGGTTTGTGCATTAGCACTGAAGGCATAATGAGTAAGTTTCCTCAGGCGCAGTTTTCATTAAAGAATCATAAGTCAAAAAATTAACTACGAAATCTTTATTTAATAAAATAGGAGAATTTTGCTTAACTTAAGCATAACAAAAAGTAATAATCTTCACATACATTAAAACACTGAATTATCGAAAAGGAGATAACTTACATAGAATCATCATCAGTCCTAAATATCATCAGGCTTACCTATTTAGGCAATAAGAAAAAAAAAAAAAAAAAAAAAAGGAACGTACGTTGACACAATACCTGAAAGAGATAGCACTAACTGAATTAGACCTTTGGCCCAGCTGCAAATAGCTTATAAGGTGAGAATCGAATGCACTCCACGTAGCTAAGGTGAAAGTCAAATATACTGCATTGCACACGAACTTTACTTTCTCTCGCGAATATATATCTTGGCGCACGTTCGTTTCGTATACCTTTCGAGTTTCATTATGCAAAATACCTAAATTTATGCTAACATTGCCCCCGTTTTGCTAATGAAACTCATATCAATTGCAATTCATTCCTGCAAAACTGAAATTTAGCTTTAGGAATTGGCTTAGTCATAATATCAGCAACCATTTGCTCTGTTGAAAGATAAGCAAGTTTTACTATTCCTTTGTTATTCAAGTCGCGTATATGATGAACTTTTGTATCAATATGTTTTGTGCTCGAACTGAATTTTTCAGATTCTACAAGTCTTATAGTAGACTGATTATCTTCAATAACCTTTATCGGTAGAGTTTGGGGTAGATTGAAATCTTCTGTTAATTTTAATAGCCATAATAGTTCTTGCGTAGCTTGCGATAGTGCAACATATTCAGATTCCTGCTGAGGATAAAGAAACGCATGTTTGTTTTCTTGAAAACCACGAAATACAAGTTTTTTCCTAATAAAATAACACTTCCTGGATGTGTAATTTTCTATCTTCAGTATCTTGTCCCCGATCAGCATCTGAAGTAAAACTGTCAATATTAGGTTCTTTACTCGACGAAATTTGTAGAGGATAAGATGTCTTTGTCGTATTGAAAGTATCTAATGATTCTTTTTACAGCATCCCAGTCCTTTCTGAACCTGGATTAATTACACTTTCTTGCTGAGTATGTGAGTTGAAGCTGTGATATCTGGTCTTGTGATGGACGATATATACAAAAGATTTCCTAATAGCTTGGCGAAATTTATCATTTGAAGTTAGGAGATTTTTTCTTCCTTGTTTTGACTATAATAAGTTTTGTTTCCATTGGTGTGCTAGCGGATTTCGCTTCTTCAAGTTGAAATTGCTTTGACAAGTTGATTTATTTTTGTTTTTTCTGTAGATAAGAGATAACTTCCCATCTTTTCCTTGCGATTTATTTCCATGCCTAAGACATATTTAGCTTCACCAAGATGCGTTATTTGGTATACGTTTCTTTAAATCTTTAATTGTTTGAAGAATTAGTCCTTCTTTCTGTAGAACTAAATTAGGATGTCAGCAGCATACACTATTAAATTAATTCTTTATCACGAACCTCTTTTGTGAAAAGACAACGGATCTGCTTTGCTTTGACTGAACCCAAAGATTCTTCAACGTATTTTCAATTTCTGCATTCCAAGCACCTAAGCTGCCTTGTTTGAGACCATAAATCGACTTCTGTAATTTACAAACTTTAATGTCTTTCTTCCGGTAACCACGAATCCTTCTGGATTGTTCCGTATATACGAGTATTTCCTCATTTAAGTTGCCATTACAAAAAAGCTGTTTTAAACATCTAGTTGATGTACCTTGGCATTATTATACGCTGCCCATGCTAAGAAAACTCTTATCGTAGTGTGTTTCACTACTGGTGAAAACGTTTCATCATAATCACTGCCGTGTTTTTGAGTAAATCCTTTGGCTACTAAGCGTGCTTTGTATTTTATATTTTTACCAGTTTCATCATATTTTGTCTTAAACACCCATTTGCTGCCTACTGCATGTTTTTCTGGTGGTAATTCTGTAAGTATATAGGTTTCATTTTCTTTTAGAGAATGTATTTCTTCTTGCATAGCCTTGATCCAAGCTTCTTGTTCACGTTTTGGTAAGTTTAGAATTTCTTCAAAGCTTTCTGAATCTTTATTTTTAGGTAAGATTGATTCTTCGTCTTCTGCTTTATAAGAGAATCTTTCCGGTAGACCCCATTGGTTGATCTGCTAGAAACCCTTCTTTCTACATTTTCTTCACATTTAATTAACTCTTCAGAACTTTCTGAATCTTCTGTAAAATCATCGCCAAGAGATTTTTCTTCATTATTTTCTTCATCTTATTGCGAGTTATTGAAGTGAATTAATTCTAAATCTTCAGCATTATTTTCTGCATGTTTGTCAGATAAAGACGCGTTTTCTGAAAATTTAACAGTTCTACTTACTATTATTTTCCTTCCACCTACATAAATCCTGTATCCCTTACTTCGTAACTCGTATCCTACGAATATTTCCTTCTTCAGCTTTGTTGTCGAATTTACGCCGTTTTATTTTGTTCACATAATAAAATGCTTTAGAGCCAAATACTCGTAAGTGACTTAAGTTTGGTTTTCTACCATTCCACAATTCATATGGTGTTCTATCTGTGGCTTTAGTTGGTAACCTATTTTGAAGATATGCGGCAGTAGCTGTTGCTTCAGCCCAGAATCCTTTCGGTAATTTAGAGTTTATTAGCATAGCTTTTGTCATTTCTATTAAAGAGCAATTTTTCCTTTCTGCGACGCCGTTCTGTGCCGGACAATAAGGAACCGAAGTTTGATGAAAAATACCAAGTTTCTTTAAATAATTTTCAGTAGTTTCGTTACAGTATTCTGTACCGTTGTCGGATCTGAGAACCTTTATTTTCTTTCTAAATTTATTTGTTGTCGATGCAACATACTGTTTAAGTTTGTCGAATACTTCATCTTTTGAAGTAATAAATAAATTTTGAAGTATAACGCGAATAGTCATCAATGAAAGTTACGAAAAATCTTTTCCTTCCTAAGCTGTTGACTTCAGTTGGCCCATACAACATCTGTGTGCACTAAATCCAGGGATTTTAAATCTAAACCAGTTTTGGGGTAGATTTTCAGTTAGTTCGCTTTTACACAAGTAGAACATTCCACACTATGAGTGCATTTGCCAAGTTTAATGCCGTCTGCCAAATCATTTTTCTTCGGTGTTTTTATGGCATCTACAGTGAGTCCCAAAATTGAGGGTACACTCCATTCTATGACAGAATTCATGTTTAGAATGAAAACAAAAACTGTCAGATAAAGACAGTCACCAAAACCTTTAGACGAGGATGTAGAAAGATACCTAATCTTAATATTTATTCATGAATAGACATAAAAAAATGCATGAAATACAGAAACAAAATGTACAACAGAAATCGTCAAAAATCTGAGCTCACAAAATTGAGGGTACATGTAATTGTTTTATTACATAAATTATAAAAAAAAACAACACATTAATATTTTGTAGCATACCCACTGGCTTTGATGACAGCTTCCAGCCGCCGGGACATCGAATCGACAAGATTTTTCGTAATTTCGGGTGAAATGTTTTCCCACTCCACTTTTAGTACATGCTTCAAATGTTCTTTACTTGTGATCTGATGTTTTCGGACCTCTTTTTCAAGGTGGGACCACAAATTTTCGATCACGTTCAAATCAGGAGATTGAGGGGGTGTGTTCAGCTGATTTCGGCAGTGATACAGCAGCCATTCTTTGACAGTATTTGCTGTATGCTTTGGATCATTATCCTGTTGAAATGTGAATTTTGATCCTAGTCCCAATTGAGTAGCACTGTCCTTCAAATTATTTTTCAATATATTAAGATAACCCATTTTATCCATTATTCCATCAATAAACACTAGCTTTCCAACTCCCGATGATGCCATACAGCCCCAAACCATTACTGACCCACCTCAATGCTTCACAGTTGGAATTGTGTTTCTTGGATCTAAAGCTCATTTCTTCTTGCGCCACACCATACGATGACCGTCACTGCCAAAAACATTAAATTTACTTTCATCGCTGAAAATAACTTCATACCAGAACTCTTTAGGCTTTAGAATGTGCTCTTTAGCAAATTTTATTCTCTTAGCTCTATTTATTTTACTAATGAAGGGCTTTTTGAGAGCTTTTCTGCCATTATAACCAGCCCTTCTGAGGATTCTGCGCACTGTTTCTGCAGAAACAGGTTTACCCACAGTTTCCGAAGTACTTGCGGCAATTTTGGGGGCACTTATTGTAGGATCAATCCTTACCTTGTGTACAGTTCTCCTCTCTGCTGCTGAACTGAGAATTTTCTTCCTGCCTCTCCCTGCTTGGTTTTCCAGCGTACCATCCTTTCTAAATTTTTGAATGATTTTTCTAATACAATTTACACTTCTTCCAAGTATTTCTCCTATTTTTCTCAAAGATTTGCCTTGATTAGACAGATTAATGGCCAGTTTTCTTTCCTCAATCGTCGTTTCTTTCCTATTCTCCATATTTGTCACACAGAAAGGTAGTAAGCTCAAATTTGAAATATTTGGATACTAAAAGGTTGTATTTTTGTATAAATCTTAGATACAAATTATTTTTAAAATTTTACTGGTAGTTTTACACAGTCATTTAAGAAGTGCACTCTCAATTTTGTGACTTTCAGAAGTTGAAGATTTTCGTTTAAGTAATATAATATTTTTTAACGGAGTTTTATAACTTATTTTTGTGTAGTTAAGATGAAAAATGTATATTTTTTAATGGGACAAAACTAGGAAAACTTGCATAATAATTTCTATTCTTAATAGCCTACAAATTAAGTTAGCATTAAGTGTACCATCAATTTTGGGACTCACTGTATATTTCTGTGGCCTAATCTTTGATGC